GTTGCATCTTCTCTCCCTCTTCTTCAAATAAAACATGGCCTGTGAAAAGTGAGTATCACATCAGACTATAATAATCAACACAGTCTCAGCACACAGAGCTGCATACACACAGTGTGTGCTGAACTGAGAGACTGTATAAATTGCAAACTGATAGCAGCATCTCAGAGAGAGCTGTGTAGTATGAGAAAGTCACAACTCTCAGTCATATATACAGAGAGTGAATCACTGCAGTAAGTGCATGTGTATTGCATGAAAGTAATACTTTTTAATAATACTCAGTCTCTGATATCATGAAAATAGAGTCTTTCTGTGAGATTCATTTTTATTAGAAGTCAGAGAATCTTATATTTCTCAAGATTATCTTCACATATCTTATTCATGAAATTGATAAAGAGAATCATTAATTTCAGTGTTCTACTCTTGATACTATTCAAGTAACAGCAGAGTTCACTCTGATCATACTTTTTAAGTGTATGTTTTCTAATTATTCACATTTATACAGATATATACTGATTATTTATTAAATAATGTTAAGACAATAACTCATCACAGTCATGTTATTCTCACTGTGAGAAATACACAGTTAATGATGAATATTGCAAAGACTCTGAAGAGTGAGTATTTTAAGAGTACTATAACTCTTAGACTGACCGTGTGATCATGTCTGAGATCAGAACCAGATTTTTTAATAGTCTTATTATTAATTTAACTGATCTCATTACATGGTTTTAACATTAGATAGTAGTTTCATACTGTCTCAGTGAGACTTACTGTCTACTCTTATTACATTTTTCAAATGAAATCATGATTTTCACTTCTCAATTTAAATTATTTTTATTGCTTTAAATGACTTTAAATCTCATTTGAGTGTTATCAAAAAGTGTTACTTTTTAAAAAATTAAAAATAGTCTAAAATAAAACTTAAAATGTCTAAAAATAGTAACTTTATGTCAAGAATAGAACTAAATGAGATCAAATGAGATCACTTTCTCATTTTTTTCAAGTCATGGTTTCATTTTAAGATCTCATATATAGTCACTTTGTATGTTTTTTTAATAACTAGTCCCAGCGGGATTCACACTCAGAAATGTATGAGATCAGATCAAATAAAATTAAATATAAAATTTATAATTTCAGCAGTCAGTCTAATAACTCTGTGATCTTGATTTTTTTTATTTTTATTTTTTATTTTTTCTTTTTCTTTTATTTTTTTTTTCTTTCTCTTTTTTTTTTTCATTGTGATTTTTTCTTGTTTTTGTTTTATTTTTTGTTTTTTGTTTTTTTTTGTATTTTATATTTTTTTTGTAATTAAAATTATATGAATTATAATCTGTGTTTAGAAAAGTAATAATATTTAATAACACTCTCTGTTGAATTTTCAACAAATGAGCACTATATTATGATATTATATAAGTGAGAAATGATTTCATAGTCTCATTTAATATCATTCTCAATAATGAAATCAGAATGAAAATATAACTAAGAATTTAAACATATTCTTTATCTGAGACTAGATTTTTATTTGAAAAGTGAATCTGAAACCTTTAATATTTGAAATAATGTGATTTGAGATCAATGTGATGAACACAAATTATGATCAGAAGTAATACTTTTAGATAACATGATAACTATAAAGTTTGATTTTGATTTCAGACACGGTCACACGGTCAGTCTAATTCTGCAGAAGTATTGATAGTACAGTTCAGATTTATATGACACAGTCAATATGAAAGATTATCACAGAGATAGACTGGCCGGCGGGATCATGAATTTCACATTTGGTCCCATTTGGTCTGGTCCCATACATTTCTTGGCGTGAGTCCCACCAGGATCAAGCCTCAAAAAAATCTGAAAATGAACCATTTCTGAGAGAAATGGCATGAAAAATGACCAGATTTAATTCAAGAACAGTGAAATGAGAGTAATTTCTCAGGATAAACTGTGAAAGATGATCATTCTTTCAAAATCAGAATGAGACTGAGACTGAAGATCAAAATCAGTCTCATTCAGTTCATTCAGTGATTGCTTATATAATCAGAATTTGATAATGATTATTGATAATGCTCATGAAACAACTAAATACATTCTTGTGCAAGTTTATTCTTCACTTTCTCATGAAAACTACACTTCTCTGATATACTGTGATCAGAGGTATTAAACTGTCTGATAATTCCATGTTTTATAATCATGAGTTTCTTGATTGTTTCTCCTTGCAATTGTCCTCAGTGATAGTGACAAATATCTTGACTTAAGTTGAACTTTCACTCCATTCTCACCCCTGTCAATGAAATTGTCAGAATATCATATGTCATCAGTGTAACAGTTGAATATGTACTCTCAACAATTTTTCATAACTCTAGAATTAATTTGATGTGTAAATTCATTGAATTATCTTGAAGATAGTGATCAAATTCAGTTTTACAAGCATGTAGTTTTGCCTGATTTTCAGTTATAATCAATGTATGCAAGTTCTGTTTCAAAGTTAGTATTATAGTCCTATATGATATGAAGTGTTATCAAAGATTGTTACTTACTAGAGAATTGTATTTCACTGTCTTCACATCTCAAACATCTGCTTGTTCAAATCTCTGATAGTTGACATTATAGTAGTCTCAGGCTAATTTAATATATAAGTCTCATTTCTCCTCTGTTCAATCTTGAGAAGTGTAGATATTAACTTGATAAGAGAGATCTAGTAGAGCTGCTATAGTATAGTACTCTGTAAAAGATTGTTCAGTTTTGCTGTAGTAATATATCAGTTTATTTCTTATAGTAATAATAGTCTGCACTATAGTATCATTTCAGACTGAATTTCTTTTTGAGTGATTCAACTGCTTCTCAAGATAAGTAAATAAACTGTTATACACTCATCAGACTGACTGCAGCATTGGTGTATAAGTGATTGAGACTGTCTTTATTATCTTATAAAACTGAAACAGTAAATCAATCACATATTTCAACTGAGTTCACTTCATATCAGAAAGTTTCAATATCTGAATCTTTTTCTGATCAGAGTGTTGCACTCAATAATCAATCATCTGATGCAATTGAAGAGTCTGAACAGTTATCTCATATATTGAACTTCACTGTGTTCTAACATTCTGTATCATATTCAGTGATGTGACTGATTTGTTTATTTATTGAATATCATGAAATTGTTGTTATTATTTAGAGAAGGTACAAATTACATTAATAATATTTTAAATCTGTGATATTTAAATTATTAGTCAATCTATTCAAAATTAACAGTAGTGTTATCAAAAAGTGTTATTAAAAAGCAATATCAAAAAGTATTGTCAAAAAACATTATCTTTTATAAAGTGAATATAAAAGTTACTTGAGTAATCACTTTCATCTCATTCTCATCTCAAGAATCAGTCATCTCATTATTCTTTATCTTGATGTTAAGATTCTTTATCAGTGTTTACATCACAAGTTAAATCACATAAGTAATGTAGAGAATATAACCTTGTTTATCATTTCAGAAATACAAAGCTAATTTTTGCTTCAATCTCTTCATCATAGTGTAGTTATTCACAGTATTATCAGTTGTAATTGTAAGAAGACTGAGACTAATATCTCAATAGTCATTTTTAATCACAGTTATTAATATCTCTGTTATATAATTCTCAGTATAACTACTGATCAATGATTCAAATTCAATTAATATCTCTTAATAAGTTCAGTTCTCATCAATGTAATAACATGTAACTCTTATAAATGTAAGATTGTTTATACTAGTCTATGCATTCACTGTGAGAGACACTCTTTGATGATTCTTCAACTCTGATTCTAGATGTTGTATATTGACTTTGTAGTGTGTCTCAAGGTTGAACTGAAGACAGAATTGATATAAAATATAAAGATTTGAATTAAGCATTTGAAGAAGTGTTCAGAATTCAGAGTTTTCAATTGATTGAAGAGAAAGATTCAGAGATATATATATACAAAGTAATTATTCATGAAAGTTATCAGATGAGAGTTGTGAAATCAGAGTACTGATACATGATTATTTTCACATGATTTTCTTCAAATTAGAAAGTTAGTGTTATCAAAAATTATTATCTGATAGAGTAACTTATCAGCTCAGTAGTAATTTTCTGATTATTTTTCTTTTATTGTCTGTATTCTGATGACTTCAGATGTCAGAAAATTTCTTCAGAGTCATGATTAGTTCATGATGAATGTTTCTGAATAAAGTTACAGTGATTATAGCAGAGAGATAACTCTTCAGTAATCTGTAATATAATCTGTTAATAATTATTTCATAGTTCATCTCAGTGTTTGTGTTGAGTTTTTCATAAATTTCATGACCTGGAATCAGATGTGAAGAATGAAGTGATTATTTATCATGATTGAAAGAGAGCATTCTATATTGAATTATAAATAATATAGACTTTGTAATTCACAGTGATTTCTTGAAGAGTTTATGAATCTTCAATAGAAGTAAAAGAAGTGAAAGAAGTAGATTCAGAAGATATGATAATAATTTAAGAAAGATGATAATTTATTTTCAATAACTGATCACTGATATGTGTAAGAAGAATTAATATAAGAGAAAATAATCTTGTTTCTTAGCTTAGTTATAATTTTAGTACTAACTCAGATTAGATATCATTGATATATAAAAGTAAATAAACAATCTTGATTAATCTCTATCATATTTCTTGAAATATATTAATATTGTGAAAGAGAGTGTTATCAAATTACATTATCAGATAATATCATTAAAAATATATTAATATTATGAATATCAATGTTGAAAAAATGTTGATACTTATATATTATAGTGATTTGTGAATGATGATAGTTAAATATATATATATATATATATATTATTCCTGACTTGATTACAACTTGTACAATAATTTTTAAAAACTCAAAATTAATTTCAATTATTAATAATTATGAACTTATAACTAACTAATATAAAAAGAAAAAAACTTTTTCTACTCATTATCTTTCTACTCTTTCTCATTCTTCTTATTATTCTTCATAATTCACTTCTTATTCTTCTTCTCCTTCTCCTTCTTCTCATCTGAGGTGATAATTATCTTAAAATCTCTCTTCACTGCCTTCTCAGAGAAGGGTTTCCACTGCTTCCTCTTAGCCAGATTAACCTGCATCTCAAAATCCTGCATTTCCTGGTCTGCTGTCTCAGGTTTCACCTCAGTGATAAGCAGATTGACATGCTCAGAGAGCAGAGCTGCCTTCTCAATATTCTGAATCATAAAGTGCATTTAAGACCTGAACAAGGCCTCAATCCTCTCCTTCTCTATCAGCTCCTGCTAATCAATTAGAGAACAGAAGTATTATTAAAAATTATTATCTCTCAATAAATAAAAAACTTATCAGTTTTGACTTCTTTGTCTTCTACTTCAACATTCTCTCAATCTTCTTCTATCACTGCTTATTTACAGTAACACTCTTCTCATCTCTTTCTCTCTTCATCTTAATCTTAAACTATTCTCAGAACTTCTCCTGATTTCACTGCTACTGTATAAGACTCTTCACTGTCTTCTTCTTCAATCTCTCACAGACAGTGTCATCTGTATTATTCCTATACTTAGTTCAGTCTAAATCTATCAGAAGTGTTACTTAAAATTATTATCATTCTGCTTTCTTACAGAGTCTCTTCAAGACATTATAACATGTCTTGTAATCTGTCTCTTCTCACTTGAATACCTTCTTCTTCTCTCTCTTCAATCTGTGACAGTGCTCACACACCTTGATGGTTCACAGAACTGCAGAATATTTGAAGAGAAATGACATAATTAGTTTCAGTGAGTGTTGAAGAGAGATAAAGGCAGAAGAGATAGCCAGAAATGATATGATAATGATGATGATGATGATGATGATGGTAATAATAGTGATGATAGTGATAATAATGAAAATGATGATAATGATGATGATGATGATGAAAGAAGAAGTGCATTGAAATATATTACTGACTTATCAAATATAAAGAGACTCAAAGAAAATATTAACAGCTTTCAGCAATGTACAGAAACAGCTACAGTGTTGTATAGCAATATCATCTTCATTCAATACATACACTGTTGATATTCTTTATATGCAGTTATTATATAATCTGTATCAGAAATACATGCAGAAAACAGATCTTTATTACTAGAGTAAATGATTACAGCAATTCTCTATTTTCATATTATAAAGATAAGTTATTCTTATTTCTTTCTTCTCTCTTTTCTCTTCTTCAATCAATCACTAATTTCAAGCTGGTATGAAAACTATTAAAACACTCTCAGAAACCCTCAAATTGAAGAGTATAGACTAATCAAATTTCAAATGCAGAAGAAATCAAATTATCTTCTACAGATTCAATTACTCATTTCTCTTTAAATAAAACAGCAGTCATATTCTCTTTCTCCTTCAATCAAACAAAACATGACCTGTGAAAAGTGAGTATCACATCAGGCCATAATGACCAACACAGCCCCAGCATGCAGAGCTGTATATATGCAGTGTATGCTGAACTGAAAGACTGCTTGAGTTACAAACTGACAGCAGCATTTCAGAGAGAGCTGTGCAGTGTGAGAAAGCTGCAACTCTCAGTCACATATGCAGAGAGTGAATCATCATAGTAAGTGTATGTGTATTGAAGTAACACTTTTTGATAACACTCAGTCTCTGATATGATGAAAATAGAGTCTCTCTGTGAGATTCATTTTTATCAGAAGTCAGAGAATCTTATATTTCTCAAGATCATCTTCACACATCTTGTCTGTGAAATCAATGAGAAGAATCATTGATTTCAGTGTTCTGTTCTTGATATCATTCAAGTAGCAGCAGAGTTCACTCTGATCACACTTTTTAAGTGTATGTTTTCTAATTATTCATATTTATATAGATATATACTGATTATTTGTTAGATAATGTTAAGACAATAACTCATCACAGTTATGTTACTCTCACTGTGAGAGATACATGATTGATAATGAATATTATAAAGACTCTGAGAAGTAAGTATTTTAAGAATACTGCAGCTCTGTGATCTTGATTTTTTTTTATTTTTATTTTTTATTTTTTTCTTTTTCTTTTCTTTTTTTTTTTGTTGTGATTTTTTCTTGTTATTTTATTTTTTGTTTTTTTATTATTTTTTGTATTTTATATTTTTTTTTTAATTAAAATGATATTAATTATGATCTGTGTTTAGAAAAGTAATGATATTTAGTAATACTCTCTGTTGAATTTTCAACAAATGAGCACTATGTTATAATATTATGTAAGTGAGAAATGATTTCATGATCTCATTTAATATCATTTTCAATAATGAGATCAGAATGAAAATGTAACTAAGAATTCAAATATATTCTTTATCTGAGACTAGATTTTTATTTGAAAAGTGAATCTGAGACCTTTAATATCTGAAATAACATGATTTGGAATCAATGTGATGAACACAAATCATGACCAGAAGTAATGCTTTTAGGCAACATGACAACTGTAAAGTTTGGTCCTGGTTTCAGACACGGTCACACGGTCAGTCTACACAGAGAGTATGACAGAAACATGCTTAGAGAACAGACAGATCTGCAATATTTTCATAAATTAATACAGTGATAAATACTGACTGTATGTAGTAAGTAGTTGTAAATACAACAGCAGATTCAAAGGTAATAATTCACTTATTATTATAATACAGAAGACAACCGCTCCACCACGAACTCGCTCGATTTTTCGAATAAGAACCCGCCGATAGATCCATCGAAAAGCCCTCGATCATACAAGCATTTTGACCCCATCGCCGACCGCATACCCCGTGTGGTGGTGGAGTTATCCAGCCAAATGTGAACCAGATGTCGTTCAGAACTCCTGCGTGGGATTATCCCCCATTCTCCCCTACCACACCACAACCCCGGGCCAAATTGCCATACAAATTGTAAGGTGAAGAGACCTAGCCATATGCACCAATCTTCTCGATTTTGGAAGATCCCTGATCTGTAGTTGTGAAGATATCTGAGAAGCAACCTCCGCGAAAACCCTGTCCATCTTTGATGTTTCAAAACACCAACACCAAGTCTCACCCTTGTACTGCCCTTCCCAATCTGGCCCATCCCCGGCAGAAAAATACAAAAAGATATCTCAGTGATAATATTAAGTATATAATCAACAGCCACTTCTGAAGTGCAATCTCTGCAGTCTGTCTTCAGTGTATCTAGACATCAATGCCAAGTCTCACCCTTATACCACCTCTCTCAATCTGGCCCATTCCCAACAGAAAAGTACAAAAAGATACCTCAGCAACTGTACTTAATACATAATCAGCAGACACAACAACTATAAAATCAGTATATTTCAAGATCTGACTGAGCCTTTGATCCCTGCACAGTGAGATATATTAAATCTAGTTTTAATATCTCAATATTCAATAGATTCTGTAAGAGATTAAGAACAGTAACACTAGATTTCTATTGAATTTAAGAATTAACTCTATATTGATATAATCATTGACAAAGTCTTCTATTTTAAGATATAAATAACCAGTTCCTCTACATTCTGCTGACAATATTTATATTATTATATAGAAACAGACTTATATTCTCTATAATATCAAGACTCTGAAGAGGGAAAGTCTTGATAGAGAGTATACAGTAGTATATATATTAGCAGTTTCTATCTCATTCTTCTACAGCAGTTAATGCAAAAAAAAAAAGATCTTAGTAATAGTTTTTTACTTCTCTTAAAAAAGTAAGATGTTTTTCTCTGAATTTTACACAATATTCTTATAAAGAATTAAAAACAGAGTTATTTTCTGTCATAATTTCATATTCTTTTAAGTAAGAATTACTTTTTCAGTGACTGAAGAGCTTTTATTAATACTTAATTCTTTTTTACACTCTTTATTAACTGATTTGAGTTGCACACTTATTGTGTGAGAAGAATTGAATGATTTAGAATAAAATTGAATAGTTTTAATCAATTTCTCTGCAAAAAATTGATTTATTTTTTGTCAGTTTTTCTCTCAAAAACTGTCATATTATCTGATTTATTATCAATTGATATCATACTTTTTCTCACTGTATCTCAAGAAAGAGATTGTAAAGATTTTATTGATTTATCTTAAAAATTAATTTTAGTTTATTAGATTCTCTTCAAAAATCTAATCTAGTTACTGAACTAGTGTGAAAAAAATCAGGTGTTTTATACACAAAAGTCTTTTATTCTTCTTTTGAAACAGTCTGACCAACTTTTCAATTGAAAACAGACTTAGAAATATCTCAATTGAAACAGTCTGATCAACTTTTCATTGAGTGAAAACAATGAGTTCAAAAATACACTCAGTTGATGTGGAAAAAGATGCTTTCTCAAATGCTATTCCTGAGATTGAAATTCTGAAGAGAAGAAAGAAAGAAGAAATAGAGAAATAACAAGTTCTTGAAATACAGAAACTTGAAAAAGTAAGCAAGATTCTTGAAAAGCAGTATCTGAGTGAGATGAATGAAGAAGTTCTGTTAATTCTTCATGCTCAGGCTAGACAACTACAGAAGATGATCAAGTTCAAACTTGAAATCTCAAACACAGTTCAAAAAACCTTGAAAATTCCTAGTACAATCACTGACTCTTTATCTTGCTCTTCTTCTTCCTTTTTTCCTACTTCTTCTTCTTCTTTAAATCAGAAGAAAATATATGCTTAAGCAGCTGAATCTGCTGTCTCTAAACCTGCTGTCTCAAAACCTGCTCAAAATCCTGAGAAAACTGAGAAGAATACTGCTCATGTCTCTATTCATAGAAAAGTGAAAAAGAAAATATAAAAAGAGAAAAACTTCTAAATCTTCAGAAATAGAAGACTTATTCTCAAAGTCTCAAACCAGAACATTCTGCAAAGAAACAAGCTAAACTCAAATCTCATTTTCAGAATCAGAAATGAAATTAATCAGCAGTTCTTTTCTCAGTTGATGACTGATATTGAAGTTCAAAAATCAGTTATAGCTTCAATTGAGTCATCATTCTTTGAAAACTCCATTATTCTGACTACAATGCCTGAATTCAGTGCTGAATTCCTTATTCAGAATGAGAATCTCTGAAAGTCAGTAGTAGAATCTTTACTAAACACAACAATTCTATCTAAAAGAGATGAAAAGTGAGACAAATTCATTCTTCATGATATTTCAGTTGAAATTTTTGACTGTGAAGAAGAAATGCTACTTCTCAAAAATGAATTAAAAGAATACAACTCTATTCAACTGAGAAAGAAGCCTGTATAACTAAATTCAATTGA